AATGGAGTTGTCTCCAAATTAATTTCCACCAAAGGTATTCTTCGCATGGCAGCAGTAGATATAAACCCAGCTGCTGGATAAACAACAGCACTAGTGCCTATCACTAGACAGATATCAGCCGATGAGATAGCCTTCTCAACGGAGCAAACGATATCAGGATCCAATGACTCACCGAACCAAACAATATCGGGTCTCAAAAGCCCACCACATAAACCATCCTTGCCCAGATCATTACAGTGTGGGAGATCAGCAACGGAAATCTTGGTGGGTATTGAAGATCTGGAATCAAGAAGTTAAAATTAGAAGGCCAGACATTCACTTCAAGTATATAGTAAGCAAACCTAGTAAGGAACGCAGGACAAATAGGATTGTCTTTGTTGGAAGATACTTTTCCACATTTTCCACATCTCACTCTGAAAAGATTCCCTAAAAATAGCAAATTTTGTAGCATACCATGGAGTTCATAAACGTGTTTGCTACCTGATTGAAGATGAAACCCATCGACATTTTGGGTTGCGATAACGAAGTTCCTACCAGCATTGTTGAACGCTTTTTCCATAGCAGCCAGTGCATAATGACCTTCATTAGGTTTCTTGTGTAGTACAACATTTCTTCGATATTGATAAAATTCCCAAACCAGGACCGGATCATTAATAAATGCTTCAGGAGTTGCCAAATCCTAGCTTAATAGTGAAATGTATTCACTTACAACTGCATTATAATTTCTCCATATTCCCCCTTCACCTCTAAAAGTAGGAATCCCGCTCTCAGCACTGATACCTGCACCTGATAAAATAAAGACGTTTTTAGAAACTCCTAGCAGCGAAGAAATTGATTGTATGTCGGAATTTGAAGTCTTATATCAATGAAGGAAAGGGAAAGACCATGATACCTTAGACGTCATTAAATAAGCGTAGGAAAAGCGCAGTGAGCGTCCAAATGCTCGGAGCAACGCGGGCATTTTGATAAACCTGGTCCAATACAGCGATTGATAAAGCATTAAAATGTAAAGTATTTTGAATTGACTTAATTCTTAATATATTTATTTTACAATTAATATGTTAGCCTTTACTGAGAGAATAAAGTATTTTGCTCGAACTTAGTATTATATAAGGTTAGTTTACAAGGAAGATTTTCTGAAAGTTGATTTCCTATCGTTGATTAGTTTAGGATCCAACCAGCATATTTGAAACATACATAAACCTATGCTATATCGAGTTTTATAAGCCGATTAAATCTCACACCAACGTTCGTCACCAAGTTAGACATTACATGGTTTATGCGTGAAGATTTAAGAATGAATTAATTGACCTCAATTGAATCAAACAGTTTTCTTATGACACCCATCTCAATATATG